AGGGGAGGAGGGAGGGAGGGAGGGAGGGAGAGAGGGTCTGTTCTGACTCACAGTCTATCATGGTGTGGAAGTCTTGACAGCAGGAATGTGAGGCAGCTGGTCACGTGGTATTCACAGTCAGGAAGCAGAGAGAGACGGATGCTGGTGCTCAGCTCACTTTCTCCTTTTTATTCAGTCCAGGACCCTATGGAATGCTGCCTGACCATGTTTAGGTTGGGTCTTCTGTCTCAGTTAATCTAATCTACATAATCCCTCATAGACATGCCCAGAGACTTGTTGCTCTGGTAATTCTAATTCCCACACAACTGACCATTAAGATCATCCATCACAGTCTCCTGCCTGGTCCCCTTGTAAGCACCCACCTTAGCCACAGACCCCTCTCTCTGTATTATCCCCATCTTTGGCTCATGAAATACTCAAGGGCGGACATAAGAAGTCATGTTAAGTCACTCTGCCCCTCATCCTGGCATAAAGAGCTCACTGAAGAAGTTTGTTGTGCCTCAGTGAGGGTCCATCCATCATGGCTGTGCAGACATGACAGTATCCACAGATAGGGGCATTCAGCTGGACTTTTCACATCTCCATGGATCAGGAAACAGAGAACGCTGATGAGAAGTGGAATCAGCCTCGAACCCTCAAGTTTTCCCTCTGTGCCCCCCCACCCCATCTCCCAGCTGGGCTCCATGTCCAGAAGGTTCCAAACCTCCCCCAAAACAGCACCACCAGCCAGGACCAAGTGTTCAGAACACAAGCCTGTCAGGGACATTTCATATTTGATCCCTAACTAAAATTGTGAAGACATTCTATAAATGAAAGGCATTTGGTTAATCTCATACACAATTTGGTTAATCTATGGGCACGAGTCACAGCGTATGTTTGTCCCTACAGTATTCTGGACACACTCAGGCTGGGGAGAGAGCTCAGTCAGGATGGTGCTTGCAGTACACACATGAGGATCTGAACACATATGTAAAAAGCTGAGTGTGGCCACACATGCTTACACTCCCAGTGCCGAGGAAGCAGAGGCAGGAGGATCTCTGAGACTCGCTAGCCAGACAGCCCAGCCCAAATAGAGACTTGCAACAGGCCCAAGTGAGAGACCCAGTCTCAAAAACCAAGATGAATGGCTCTGAAAAATGACACCCCAGTTGTCTTCTGCCTTCTGTGTGCACACACCCACACATATGCATATCCATGTACACACACACACACACACACACACACACACACACACACATACACACACACAAATATAGACTTCCACAAAACGGTAGCAGTCCATTCTAGCCCATCATAGGTCCAACCTGCCCTTGACCCTGCTTCTCTACAGCCCATAGCTGTGAGAAAAGGCCTGGCAGGAGGTTCCGGAAAGCAGAAGGAGGCCCGAAGGGTTTCCGGGTGGATGCTAGCCGAGTGCACAGAGGCAGGATTTACAGACAGTGGTTCCGCTGGGGTAGGTGACCCCTTCATTGCTTTGGTCCATGTGTGCCAAGACCCACCCACACAATCTCAGTCTCCCAGTCTCCAATGGAACTGACCGAAATTGTCTGGGAGCTCGCAACAAGTGCTCAATTCCCTGTCATTGGCTGAGAGTCCCCTGTGGGCGTGGCCTGAGGAGCTCATTTGAATCTATGGATCTTGGTTCTTCAGCCAGAAAATAAGGAGACGGACTCAATCTCAAATCTTGCGTGCTACCTCAGAGGAGAATAAAGTTAGCCCTGGTTTGTGGAACTGGGGAACAAATCGGCCTTCATCCAATCCTGGGGACCCAGTGAAGTCCCCATGAAAAAAAAGATGGCTTCTGTGGATCTCTGTGTCCTCCTCCAGGATTTTAGAATCTAAGACAGTGTCTGAAGCCTTCACAGAGCAGACAGCCACACAGAGTCCTGTCTTGCCTGTCTCTGTTCCCTTGTCAAGCCCTAGTTTACATACAGCATTGCCTCCTAGGCCTCAAACCCCTAGAAAACATCTGGAAGGTGTATTTTAAACACAGCCACAAATCCTGGTCCCAGCCCCCACCCCAACTGTGGAGGCCAAATCCGTGTCTAGAAGGACAGGGTGTCCAACGGAGAGCCAGGAGTCCTCCGCAGACTCAGTAAAATCCACTTCAGCCTCCGTCTCCTTTAGTGATCTTTTCCATGACAACACAAAGAAAATAATTTTTATTTAAGAAAAGAGAAAACCCATAGACTAAGCCAGACATTGCTTTGGCTCACATCTTTTATCCTAGAACCTGGAGGCTGAGGTAAGAACATGGAAATCACAAGTGGAAAGCCTGTCTGCACTGCGGAGTGGAACCTTCCTCAAAAGAAGAAGGGAGGAAGGGAAGAAAGGAAGGAAGGAGGAGGGAAGGAGGAAGGGAAAGATGACTGGATGATTCTTACAGGTGTTGTTGGCTTGTTGTATGAAATGAACCCAGACACTCCAAGGGACGATCCTCGGCACCCCCAGGAGACCAGAGCTCTCCAGGCTGCGGCCGCGGAGTGTGCTTGGAGCCCAGCACTAGAGCAGACAAAAATGCAGGCACTGGCCTGGTCCAGCAGCTTCCCCTGCTGCAGTCTCTAAGCCTCTGTGGGCAGTGGGTCTGTGACAAGAGGCCACTGCGGGTGCCCCCGCCCCCACCCCGGCATGCTGAACTTTTCTCTTTGGTCCCCCAGCAGCTCACGTCTTGTTTGCCTGCAGATCAAAGGCCAGGAGCACTCCTAGGCATCCATAAGTGTGTGTTCTGAGGCATGAGAGAAAGAGGGTGATGATAGGCAAATGAAGGAAAGAGAAGGCACACACACACACACACACACACACACACACACACACACACACTTTGGAGTCTCCCCAAAGCTTCCCACCAGCTGATAGTTAATAACTACAGCATGACTGACATTTGCTATGAAGCTTGTGGACATAGAGACAATACTCCCTTCATATAAAGGTATTTTATATCAAACAGCGATGAACCAGGCTTAAAGTCTGAATGCATATGACCTCAGGTGGGCCTCATTCCTCTCCTAGACATTTTCTGGGAATCAAAAAAAGAAAAACCTGCATCTCCTGAGCTAGTTTTACTCTATCAACTGGAGTCCTGTCAGGAGCCACTTGGGACTCACCTGCGACCTCACTTATTTGGTTCCCAGCACCCATGTCAAGCAGCTCACAACTGCTTCTAATGCCATTTCATACACGTCTGCCCTCTTCTGGACTCCACACAAACTGCATATACACGTGCACAAACACACTGAGAGAGACACACATATGTGCAAAATTAAAAATGAATCTTTTAATTTTATGTGGGTGGGTGTGTTGCTTGCATATATGTCTGTATCCATGGATATGTAGTACTCAGAGAGGCCAGAAGTGCGTGTCAGATCACCTGGGAGTAGAGTTACAGATGGCTGTGAGCGGTCATGTGGAATGGAAATCCAGTCTTCTGGAAGGGTGCCCAGTGCTCATAACCACTGAGCCATCTCTCCAGCCCCAAAATAAAACTTCTAAGTATATATCTTTTTTTTTTTTAATAAACTCCAACTTGGGCTTAGGAGATGGCTCACTTTGCTGTGAAAGCAAGAAGACCCAAGTTCGAATTTGAGTACCCACATAAGAGCTGGGCATGGCAGCATGCTAAGCATTGGGAGACAGAAACAGACGGGTCCTGGTGACCTGCTGGCCAGTCAGCCAGCCAAGGTAAAATGACCAGCTTCAGATCCACTGAGAGACCCTGCCTCAAAATAATGAGGTGGATAGGAAAACAGGAGACAACCTCTCTCTCTGCCTTCCACGTGTGAGCAGATGGACATGTAAACCCCCCCACACACGCACAAACACACCAGCCAGAAATAAATAATAAAAACAAACTCCATGCTTCTCACTGGCTCAGTCCGGGAATTCTTTCTGCATTGGAGCCAAAGATCCGTTTTACCTGAGTGGACATTGATGAATGAAGTTCAGTCAGTGAATACTTTTAGTGTATTCAGTCACTTTTAGTGTATTAGTTACTTTTAGTTTATTGGTTATTTTTAGGGTATTAGTCACTCAATGTGTTAGTTAATTTTAGTGTATTAGTTACTTTTAGCTTATTGGTTGTTTTTAGGGTATTAGTCACTTTTAGTGTATTAGTCACTCAGTGTGTTAGTTAATTTTCTAGTGCTGTGATAAAGATCATGACAAGGCAGCTTATAGAAGGAAGAGTTTATTAGGGCCTAAGGTTCCAGAGGGATGAGTCCATCACCATCATGGTGGGAAAAGATGACAGCAGGCAGGCATGGCAGCTGGAGCAGGAAGCTGAGACCCACATCTGGAACCACAGGCATGAAGCAAGGAGGGGGGAGGGAGAGAGAGGAGGGGGAGAGAGAGGAGGGGACAGAGAGACAGAGTGGAAATGGAGCCAGTCTTTAAACTCAAAGCCCACCTTCCGTGACGTACTTCCTCAACAAGGCCACGCCTCCTCAACCTCCTCCCCAAACAGCGCCACCAACTGGCCAGTGACGTTCAAATACATGAACCTGCGGGGACATTGTCATTCAAACCACCATAGGCTGCTACAGGGGACGCGGCACCATTAACATCTGCGCTTACAGACTCTGTGGGGACTCTGTAGACCTCTCCCAGGGCGCCCCGCAGCACAGGCCTCTCCTGGGCTTCCAGGAGGGAGAAAGGCGACTACAACAGGTGACCCGCAGGCCACCCCCACCTTGGCTGACTAATGGGAGTCTCCCTGTTTCCAGATCACCCTCCCTCACCCCCCCCTTCTCCCTTTCTTGCTATGGCTCACACTGTCCCTCCGTCCCACCCTTAGGCCTCCGACTCAGACTACGAGGAAGCCCTGCCCAAGCACTCCTTCGTCAACCACTACATGAGCGACCCCACCTACTACAACTCCTGGAAGCGGCGTCCCCCTGCCGCAGCACCGCACAGATACGAGGCGGTGGCAGGGGCCGAGTCGGGCCCGCACCTGCACACGGTCATCACCACACAGAGCGCGGGCGGAGTCTACACACCAGCTGGCCCCGGAGCCCGGGCCCCCCTCACCGGCTTCTCCTCCTTCGTGTGACGTCACGCCTCCATCAGGGTAGACGGGTGCAGAACTTCTGGAGTCTATTTTTGTTAAGACAATCAACTCCGATAACTGAGCTGAAATTTTTTGTTCCACAAAAAAAATAATAATAATTCTGATAAGCGATCTTACCTACTGGTGAAAACTAGGTTTCACTTAGGAAGGTTTTTTTTAATGGCTTTTTGTAACATCGCTGCAGGAAGCAGGTTTCTTTGTTTTCTTTTCTTTTTAAGAGAAGGTATCTCCCTGGTGCACTAGCTCGGCACCGCCGGTGGGGGCGCTCTCGACACACCCCAACCCTGGGCTTCTCAGGCCTCCAGACCATCGCGGAGGCGAGGGCTGGCAGGAGGGTGGAGGGGGACAGGTAAATCGCATCCGCGGCGCACTTCTCTCTCTACCTCCTTTTGGAGAACCAGCCAGCCTGGCTCACTTTCTCCATCTTAGGCCGACTTGAGGCTTCTTGCTCTCGCCTGTGCTTCAGACAGTTGATCTCCCCACCCCACCCCCGGGTTCTGCCCGGTTCTCACCGGGGTCCACGCGATGCCACTGCGCAAGGGGCCATGGAGGGCTCAGCTCTGCAGTCCCTCTTTAGGGTGGCGCGACCCTGGGGCTTTCCCCTCGCTCTTCCTCTGTTCTCTAAAGCTGACAGTTACAAGAACAGCAAGTCCCTCCCCCAACTGGAGGCCACCCAGGCCCATCCATGGCCAGCCAGGTCCTTCTGGTGACCACAGCACACAGCCCACCCCCGCTGAGCAAAGAGAGGGGCGCAGACGCGTGTTTTTGCAGTTGCTTGTGGCAGTAGCAGGTGTGCATTGTTGAACCAGAGTATTTTTTAAATCTTTTTATCTTTTTTTAAACTATGTCACATGAAATGAATGCGTCTTTGCTGTCTCCAGGTGCCTTTTAATTCATTGTTCAGCTTTGTACGTGGGAAAGACGAGAAGCGACCGTGTCTCCAAATAAAACACTCGGCTCTGAGAAAACAACCCGGGGCCGCGAGTCACCTAGCACACCCCACACCGGCCGGCGCACAGTGGGGACAGCCCTTCCCTTCCCCCTCCTGATGTCCCGCTTCTGACCACCACCACCACCACCACCACCACCACCACCACCACCACCACCACCACCACCCCCGGTGCTGCTTCCGCCACCCTGCCGTCCAAGGCCAGCGTTTTAGCCTTAACAGGTTTTCTGAAAACATTTTCCTTTAATTTTCACTATTTTGGCTAAATGCAGAGTACCAGCTAAGTGGCACTCAGACCCTATGAGCATCCTGCCGCCCCTAGCCTGGGCTTGGGATCTGGATGTGACCAGCTGGCTTTGGCCATGGTGTGGCCCAGAGCTGGGGTGGCTCCATGAAACCACGTCCTGGAGTACTCAGAGCCAGTGAAAAGGTCTGTCCTTCTAGTGACCTTGGCATCCTGCGGAGGGGGCTGGCTGTTGAATGTCACCAGTAGGGGACTTTGTAGCCCTTTACTTTCCCTGAGAGGCAGAGGCCATGGATCTTGTCTTGACTCGGATGCCTAGGAAGTTACTGGTATGGCCCCAGGACCCTGGAAGTTCTGCTTGGGAGAAAAAAAAAAAAAATTAAAGGCCTTTCAGTTTTTCCAAAACCCACAATTAAAAAAAATTCCAGCCCTCCTCCTCCCTTCTCCTCTTGTTCCTTCTTTCCTTCTCCCTCCCCTTATCCTTCCTTCCCCCTTCTTTTTTTGGTTTTGGTTTTGGTTTTTTGTTTTTTTGGGTTTTTTTGAGACAGGGTTTCTCTGTAGCTTTGGAGCCTTTCCTGGAACTCGCTCTGTAGACCAGGCTGGCTTCGAACTCACAGAGATCCGCCTGCCTCTGCCTCCCGAGTGCTGGGATTAAAGGGGTGCGCCGCCGCCGCCCCGTTTCCCCCGTTCTTCCTTTCCTCCCTCTTTCTCACACTCCAGCTTTTCACCCCTCCCTCCTTTACTTCCTCTCTCCCTTCCCTCCTTCCTCTCCCTCTTCTCTCCCTCCCTCCTCCTGTTGCTCATTTCCCCCCTTCTTCCTCCCTCCTCCCCCCTTCTTCATCCTCCCCATCTCCCTTCATTTTCTGAGCTGAAGGGAAAATATTCTAAACCAAAAATCCTAAATGCTCTGCCCAAAGCCACTTTGGTGTGGGGACTGCCCCCCTCGTGGTCCACAGGAGGGACCACATCAGTGGACAGCACCACCTCCTCCCCGGCCTCAAAGGAGTGAAATGGACAGAAGACCACACGGCACCACCTGAACTTCTTGGAAGGCGGCGCCCAACAGAGGACAGGGGCCAGGCTGGCTCCGCACTCTGCTTTCTCCCTTAAGCCATAAGGACTTGATCGCTTTTACCAGTGGGGAATGCTTGGGTGGCCTGGTCTGAGGTGAGACTCTGCCGCCAGCCGCTGGGTTTCCTCACAGTGACCGGGCAGTTCACAGCACTCTGTGATCAGTAACTCGTTTTCTATGGGAAGGTCTTTTCAGGATGCCCGGCCCCTGTGACTGCTGATCAACAGCTGTCATCAAGTCCATCACTTAGAGCAGCGGTTCTCCACCTGAGGGTCCTGACCCCTCTGGGGGTCAGACGGCCCTTTTACCAGATCTCCTGCATACCAGATGTTTATACTACAATTCATAACAGTAGCAAAACTGCAGTTATGAAACAATGAAAATGATTGTATGGTTGCGGGCCACCACAGCATGAGGAACTGTATTCAAGGGTCACAGCATTAGAAAGGTTGAGAACCACTGACTTAGGGGACTCTGTCCCGTTCAAGTGCCCTGCACCAAGTGCAGGGGTTGGGGTTTTTAGTTAGATTTCAGCCTCCCAGAGCCGCGGGGCATTATGTCCTTCCTAAACTCTCACTGTAGGAAAGGGATGGACACATCACAGCTGCAAAACGGACATTGGATCCAAGTCTGGGTTCTGAGAAAAGACCCAAACAGGCAGGATACAGGTGCCCTCTGGCTTCTGTCATTTGAAAACGTCACCTCCAGGGGTGTCTAATGATGAGTGGCAGCCACATCTACCCACTGCGGCCTCAGTGACTCTGGAGACCGTTCAGCCCATACAGCCTTTCCTCCCGGTGTGTCTGTGAGCCTTGTGGATGGCTTTGCAGAGCACAGACATCCAGAGAGGATGTCGGCATCTGGGCTGACATCTCCCAGCCTTCTGCTGGCCTTCCTCAGCATCTCCCCAACTCCAGCGGGAAAATTTGTGGTGGTGTGGGGGGTGTCCCTCTGGATCCCTGGGAGAAGGCGGAGCCACAGCCCACGTGGATGATGTGTGTTCTGGAAAGTTCTGTGGATGTGGTGTTTGAACCTGGTCTGGAACATCCTGAGCACGGTGTGTTTGCATAGAGGTTCTTAGCATGGGTTTTCATTATTCCAAGATTCCTGGCTCAGGGCATGGCTGCTCACCTGCTGAGCCCCCAGTCCACAGACTAACAGCATGGGACCAGTCTGAGAGGCCAGGACTCTCAGTGTGGGGTTCCCAGGGGAACCCCCTGCCTCACCGGCTAGCTTAGGAGAATCCCAAAACTTTCCCTATGAAACCTTCTGAAATGGCACAGAAAACCAGATCCCATTAAAGATAAAATGAATCCTCCCCCTCAACTTATAGGAAGACAGAGCGGTGCTATGGGTACAATTTTTAATAAAAAAAAAATATTTTGTTCCTTAAGCGTTTGTGACTTTTTAAATTTTTAGTTTCTGTTTGTGTGTGTGTATTCAAGTGCAAAATGTACAGGTGTATGTGCGTGTGTGCTTGTAGAATCCCAAGGACAGCCTCAGGTGTACTTCTTCAGGCGCTGTCCACCTTGTGTTGTGACAGGGTCTCTCACTGGCCTGGAACAACCTTAGTGGATAGGCCAGCTGGCCAGTGAGCCTGACTCTGCCTTCCCAGTACCGGGGTCACAAGTACACACCAACATGCCCTGCTTTTTGCACTGGGTCTTAGAATCGAACCCGGGTCCTTGTAAGGCAAGCACTTTATTGATGGATCCATTGTCTCAGGGATGGGGGGAAGGGGGTGCACAAGTTTGCCAGAGCATGCATGTGGAGGTCAGAGGAGGACCTTCCCTTTCCACCTCTTTGGAGACAGAGTTCCTTGGTCACAGTGTGCACAGGGGCCCACTCTCCCTCTCAGTCTCCCATTTCCTGTAGGAGCCTGGGATTGTAGATATTACACTGCAGTACCCAGCTTTTCTATGGGTTCTGGGACTCTGAACTTAGGTCAGGCTTGGTATGACAAACATGTCACTCACTGAGCCCTCCCCAGCCTCTTTTTAACGTGTTCATGAAATGACCCTGGATTTCAGGAGCAGTCATACAGTCTAAGACTGTGAATGCTAACCTTGGAAATTAACCCGCATGTAGTCCTAAACAAACACACTCTCTGTCTCTCTCTCCCTTTTTCTCTGCTGTTGAGGGGCAGTATGTCCTCTGTTGATGAAGGAAACAGCTCAAGGGATAAAAAGTTTCTTCTGGAATCAAAAATGAGTGGTCATGACCTGAGAACGTAGGTTTAGGCCTCCCCAAATGCGTGTTCCAATTAGGGAGCAAGCTCATGAACTTCCGACAGTATCTGAGTGAAGAAAGCCATAAAGTAAAATACTTTTCACATATCTTGGTGGATCCATGGGTAGGCAGGTTACAGGGAAGCAGGGGAAACTCTGCTAGAGGCTTTAGGTGCCGCCTGACAGCATCCTTAGCCCTTTGGTTGGTGGAAACTAAGGCCTTGTTCACACAGTCGAAAGGATGGACCTAGGGAAATAGATGGCTATTAAGGAGAGGCTAAAGATGCCCCAAGATAGTTTGGTTCTGGACTTACAGCAGTCCAATTTCTCCATGTTCTGATCAATCCACCTTTGCAGACACAGCTTTCTTCCAGGAACTCCCATGTGTGACTCCCTCTCAGTTGGAAGAGAGGGGGTTGCAATCTCACAGAGAGCTCCCTGCCCAAGGTGTAGGTGGCAGCTAGAGCCTGCACCTTGAGTCACTCTGAATGGACCAGTAATTTTCAGATGCCACAAGCCCACCCTAACCCCCATCTGTACCTTCTGAAAGCCATCACTGATGCCTTGAAGAGGAAGACCTGCCTGTGAACAATTTGGGCTGTGCTTGGGATGAAGTGGGTGGCCCGGATCACTCAAGCATGCCCACATCCTGAGGCATCTAATAGCTCCTGGGTTCAAGGTAGGATCACAGCTCTGAAGGAAGGGGGAAAATGAAACCATCTGCCAACTCTGGGTTTGTGGGAGCCACTGTGGGGCCACCAGAAGAGAACACAGCTGTACCTCTGTGATCCACAGGCCTCAGGACGCAGTTCTCAGCTCTCAGCCTTTTTAGCACTATCAAGGAGCAATTAAGAATTCCAGAGCCCAGGCCACAAAAGCTGCAGCTATGGAACTCTCTGCACAACTTGCAGGCAACTCAACACATTGAAGAGTCATCTCTCCTCAGCAGTCATTACCACTTACATAACCTTGGGAAGGGAGGAGCCTTATGAATCTAGTATGTTTCGGGGACTTCCTGACACTTGTGAGTCGCTTACTTCCTGAATGGAATGCTTCAACACAGGAAATTACTGCATAATGCAACTGAGTCAGAACCTCTGGGGATACAGCCCAATCATTGGTTTATCTTGAAAGGTCCATCAAGTGACCCCAAAATGGAACATGGTCAGAAAAGGTAGCCAGTTTCCAGCTGCAGGAGGAGGGATCATAGGAGGATGGAAATCCAGGCTTCTGACCATTCAACTCTTCCTTTTCCTCTCTAAATCATTGCCAAGAATAAGCAGTAAGAACCCTTCATCCCTGCTCCTCCTCACCCTCTCCCCAGCATCATCCACCTACATTTCAACTACTAATAATAGCAAAATAAAATTCTCATGTTTTTCACTGTCTCCAACAGTTGGAACATGGCAGCTACTGTGCAAAATAGAGTGAAGGATCACATGGGCAGGAGACCTGTGCCCTCCCCTCCTCAATACGGGGCCTCCCAAGCAGGGAATGGAGAGGGGCAGGACAAGGGACCAGTATCACATCCTATACTCATAGAACCCATTTTTCTTCCAGGCACCTCTCATCCAAAGAAGTTCTACTCGAACTTCAAAAAAGAACTAAGGTCAATACTTTGAGATTTTTCAAACTCCAGCTGCTGTGTTACCTTTGCCATGGTGGCTGCACTTTAAACTACTAGTGCCCAGCTGCTGAGGCCACAGCCGGGAAATTCTGTTCCCCCAGACAATGGCTTTGTAGCTGCCACTACCGCTAGTTCTAACTAAATCTCTATTGTTCTAATAAAACTTGAGATTTAAAGGCTAGAGTGAAAACTTGCAGGCTCAGAGTTAGAGCAGCAGCTGGCTAACTTTCTGCCTTTGCTGGTGCCCCCTGGAGACCACTCCCTTTCACACTGACCCCCCGACACACACACACACAAAACAACATGCTAAGCTCCTCCCTGCTGCTTCCTGTCAACCAGTTACTAAGCCCGCCTCTCTGAGCACAGATTAATTTTATTTAATTAATTCAATTGCAACATATCTTTACATAGTTAACAAATGCAGCATGAACAAATGTAACACATCTTTGCCTAGTTAAAATAATATTCTACAGCCGGGTGGTGGTGGCACATGCCTTTAATCCCAGCACTCGGGAGGCAGAGCCAGGCAGATCTCTGTGAGTTTGAGGCCAGCCTGGTCTACAGAGTGAGTTCCAGGAAAGGCACCAAAACTACATCGAGAAACCCTGTCTTGAAAAATCAATAATAATAATAATAATATTCTACATCACCAACCTCATTCAGAAACACAAGGAAATACTGTGTCTCTTAGTCTAATCAGCTGACCTTGGGCCCATTTCCCTGTAGCACAACATCTCGCCCCCCCCCCCCCATCCCACTTCCTGCCCTTTAGTGGTTAATATTGATTGTCAACTTGACGGGACCTAGAATTGCCTAGGAGACAAGCCTCCAAGCACACCTCCAGGGGATCATAGATTGGGTTTATTAATTGAAGTGGGAAGATACACCCTGACTGTGGGCAGCACAATCCCAGAGACTGGGGTTCCCATCTGTGTAAGAAGGAGAAATCGAGCTGAGCCCCAGCATCCATATCTCTCTGCTTCCTGGCTGTGGTTGTCATGTGACCAGCAGCCTAACAATTCTGCTACCATGACTTCACCACCATGATGGACTGTGTATGCTCAGACTGTGAGCCAAAATCAATCCTTCCTTCTTATTCATCCCTTCACAAGGTACTTTAAGGGACAGGCCCTGGTATCCCTAGGAAGGACAGATACCTCTTTTGCTTCGGACCCCTGCCCCCTGAACTATGTACTTGACAAGAGTCAATGTAGCTCTTGCTTAAAGGACACTTCAACTCAGCATCTCCTCGAGAACCACCCTTCTCTTTACTGAACATAGACCATGAGCCTCAGTGTACTGTGTTGTCTCTGCTCATTGTTCTATACATTTCCCAGGAGGCCCCTGAGAGATGAACACAGCAAGGAGCTCATTACGTAGATTAAACATATAGAAGGTGTTCTAGTTGGCTTTCTGCTGCTGTGATAAAGACCATGGTCAAAAACAACTTGGGGAGGAATGTGTTTACTTCATCTTATGCTTCCAAATCATGGTGCATCTTTGAGGGAGGCCAGAGGGGACTCAAGCAGGAACTGAAGCTGAGACCATGGAGAAAACACTGTTTACTGGCTTGCTTCCCACTGACTCAGCTAGATTCTTTATACAGCCCAAGATCTCCCACGTTGGGGATGGTACCACCCACAGTGGACTGGCATGCCTACATCAATTAGTATTGGGGAGGGAAATGCCCCAAGAAGCAATCCCCCAACAGAGACTTCCTCAGATGACTCTGAGCTGTGTCAAGTTGATGGCTGAAGCTTACCAGGAAAGGGATGAAGCCATTGGGCCTAGGGCAGCCAGCAGCACAGGGAAATTCCAGGCACAAGCTCCATAATTGGGAGATGGCAACAGAGCCTGATTCCTGAGTCCCAAACCTTGTTCTGTGCTGCCTTTCAAGGGACTGTGGCTCTTCTTTAGGATTCCCTAGAATCCACAGGCAATTCACCCTGTAGTACACTAAATGTGCTCCCAGAAGCTCGGAGCCTGGACAGCATCTCAGTAGACAAATGAAGACTCTATGTGAACTTTCCAGGGGAGTTGTGAATAAATATCTACTCACTCCAGATAAGACACTGATGCCATGCAAAAGGAAACAACTCCACCTAAGTGAGCAAGTTAGTTTATGGAGTTGCTTACAGGAGCATGACTGAGGATGTGTTACAGGTGCATGGGAGACAACTCATGAAAACTATATCTCTGGAGTTCCCTCCAAGACTCTCAGGTAGCTCAGAGGCCAGAGAGTTCTCTCTCCACCAATCTTTATTGCTTACATAATCTTGGGGCAACGCCTATGGGTCTTATAAATTTCAGGAACTTCCTGAGAGTTGTGAGTTTTACTCTTGAAAGTTTTACTTGCCTTCTGAGTCTTAAGGGACCTCCCTTTAGGAGGTATGGTTTCAATTCAGATGAAACAGCCACACAACATCTAAGGGATGTGTCTTTTCATCCCAGATAGAAGGATGATGACAGACTCCGACAAATAAAATAATTCTGAGTCTACATTAGAGAGCCAGTGGATTTATCACAGTCACCTACAGGCTGCTGCATCACCAAAAAGTTCCACCGTAGCACAGATAAAGACTCACAAAAGCTTCTTGCAGGCAGCTACAGCACTGAAGGATGTCAGGTCCCTCAGAAGTTTTTGCTGCTGATGGGATCTTGGAAAAGGACCTGGTGAGTCTTTAAGTTTCTCATGTGTTTATTGAGCTTCCTTCGTCCTTCCCTCCACAAGGGAATTTTGCATTTGCAATCCTAAAGGAAATAGCTACACAACATGGAGATAGGAAAATACTCCCCACCCCCCAAACCCAACACACTCCACGGCTATCTTGAGAGGAAATGCCTCAGTTAAGTCCATATGTGATTCAATGCCCTGCTATTGTTATTATTGAAAAGTTTGAGGAAGGCATTTTAAAATGCAACCATTGGTTACAGGAAAAGGAAATCTCCATTGTCTGGTCAGATGGTAATTAGTCAGGAGAAAGGAAATTTCCACTGAGGCTTCCAGCTGAATGAGGAAGCAGATCTTAACCCAGCCTTGCTCATTTCACTGGACATCGGGGGTAAGGGGAGAGCAGAGGATATCCATTTTCACAGCATCAACCATGGCATTGACCATGAGACCCTCATCACCCTGGTCCCTACCATAGGCAAGGGACTCTGACATCACCAAGAAGAAGGTACAATAAGAGATAATTCTGTGCTGGTTGGACATATTAGTGGGGGAATCAGGATTCCCATTTATGAGGTATTTGTCTTGTTGATTAAAGACTTTTAAAGACCAATAGAAAGGAACTTAATGGGCATTTTATTAGCACTTGAGATTAAAATAACAGGACAGGCAAGTTATAGATCTTGCATGTGCCAGGAGGAAGGAGACAGAGAAAGTAAAAGAAAGAGAGTCATCCCTTTTGGGGTAGAGTCAGCAGTGAGGTTGACTGACAAGCAGCTATAGAAGGCGGGTGTCATTCAGAGAAAGCAGGAATCCTGCAATCCGGGCAAGGCGCACATACTTAGGGTTTGGGCTGGTATGTGAAGAAGAGAGAGAAATAAAGGTAAAGCTGGGTTTTTTAGTTGGATCTCAGAGATGCTCTATAAGCAACTGCCCCCAAGAAATACATTATCTCATTGCAGGGATAATTATTCCTCCCATCCTTTAGCATATCTTCAGATGAATAAGCCTTCCTGTGGACAAATAAATGAGGGTCCAAAGCTGGCTATGAGGGAGGAGTCTGTCCTCAATGGCCTGCTAATGTCTGTCTAACTGCCTACCAACCAACTCTTCGCTTTCCAAAACAATCAAAATGCAAGTGGTGGGTAGTCACAGACCTCTGATATCTATTGAATTCACACTTGTGTTTCCAAGATTTGATTTTGTTACAGGGTGGAACGACTTTCAGTCTCTCTGGGAGCCACAGAACCTTTTGCAGATCCGCTGTTGGAAGAGTCTATTTCTTCTAATATCATTGGCTCACTGCACGCTTATTACAGAATGATTTGAACATGCCTGTGTACCCGCTTGTATGAAAGGCTCAGGGTTTGCCAAAAACTTCTCTCCCTTTTAATGGTTGAAGTCAATTAACAGCCAGCATGGTGAAAATTCCAAGCTGTTAATTCTGGGCTCTGTGGTCTTAAAAACGCCCTGCTTCTCTTCAGATAAGACAATATTCTGCAGTCATTAAGCAAATCACTACATTATGGGCTTGACTCAGATCCAGACTCAAACATTTTAGTAAAAAGAAACTCATATCTAGCACCGGGGAAATGGCTCAGTGGGTAACGTGCTTGGGGTACACATGTAAGAAGCTGACTTTGATCCCCACACCCCATGTAGACACGGTGGTGTGAACTGTAATTCCAACCCCAGAAAGGCAGAGACAGGAG